GGAAGGCCCAGCCATTTTCATTGTTTACACACAGCAGCCATTATGGATATTTAAAGTGACTGAGGGTGCAGCCATTTTGAGTGTTTACAAGTGGCAACCATTTTGGATTTTAAAGTGATAGCATTGTCATTCGGATTCCAGGGACCTAAGAACAGGCTCTGTTTGCCAAGGTCAGCAGGGACATACAAGAGGCTGACAACAGGAAAGGAAACAGGTGGTGAGTGTATAGTGCTGTCAGCTAGTGAATAGAGGAGCACAGCACAGTACCCTGCCTGTACAGATAACATACAAACAGAACAAAGAAAACGAAAATCGTGGGCAAGTCACTCCAACATACAATCACCAATTAAATATAAACACAGAAACATCACAATGCCTCAGAGACAACAGAGCATCACGGTCCACACAAAGAAGCAAGATAAAACAGGAGAAACAAGGAACCAGGACACAGACCTAAAACACATCCCTAAGGAAGATGCAGCATTGGAACTCCTTGATAAGGAATTCAAAAGAATTATATTTAGGTATCTTCAACAAATTGAGAGATCAGAGAAAACCCTAGAACAACTTCAAAAGACAATACAAGAACAAAATGGCAAAATAAATGAAAAATTAGAAACAATAGAAAATCTACACACAGAAATCCAGGAGATTAATACTAAATTTTCAGAAATAAGTAAAACATTGAATGGGCAAAGGAGCAGAATTGAATCAATGGAAAGCAGAATTAGGGAGATTGAAGGCAAATACCTGAACACTTCTTTGGAAAGGGATAAATCTTTGGAAAGGGACAGATCAAAACAAAATGAAGAAAGCCTAAGGTTCATGTGAGATACCATCAAAAGAAATAGCCTACGTGTTATCAGGAGCTCTGGTAGCATAGTGCCTAAGGCACTTGACTGCTAACCAGAAGACTGGCGGTTCAAACCCACCAGCCACTCCTTGAAAGGAAGGTTGGGCAGTCCACTTCCATAGTGATACCACCTCAGAAACCCACAGAGGGGTCGCTATGAGTCGGGTCCAACTCCATGGCACATAGCAACAACAACAACATGTCATCGGAATTCCAGAACAGGAAGAGACAAATAAAACCGCAGTGAAAATTGTTGAAGATTTGTTGAAAGAGAATTTTCCTGGTATGATGAAAGATGAGAATATATCCATTCAGGAAGTCCAACAAACCCCAAACAGGATAGACCCCAAAAGAAAATCACCCAGACATATCATCATCAAACTCACCAAAACCAAAGACAAAAGAAGAATTGTGAGAGCAGCACGGGAAAAATAAAAAGTTACATACCAGGGGCAACCAGTAAGATTTCTCGACAGAAACCACGCAGGCTAGAAGACAGTGGGATGGTATATATAAAACACTGAAAGAGAAAAATTTTCAACCAAGAATTATGTACCCAGCATAATTGTCCCTCAAATATGATGGTGAAATTAGGACATGTCCAGGTAAGCAGAAATTAAGGGAATTTGTTAAAACCAGACCAACCTTACAAGAGATGCTAAAGGGAGCCCTTTGGACAGAGAAGCAACAGCAGCCAACAACAACTGATCATTAACACACCTGATGATATAACCCAGAAACCAACCTAGCTATGGAAGTATCCAAAGTAAAGAAGCTTACAAGATTGTAAACAGGGAACCAGAGACATCAATTGACAAATGAGGACAACTACAAACCAAAAGGAGGGGGAAAAAAAAAAAACTGTGTCATTACAGAACTTCTAGATGGTAGGGAAGTCAAGACAACTACAAGATAGAACAGACTGTTCTAAACTTGGGAAGAAAACAATAAATCACAGGGTAACCTCAAAGAAAAGTGATAACACGATTCATAAACAAAATGAGCTCGGCATAGAAAATTATATGGATCAAAGAAATTGACACCATGAAAAAGCACCTAACAAAAACGACAGCAACAAAGTCATATTTGCCGATAATTACATATCTGGCAAGGGACTTATCTCTAAGATTTATAGTGAAAGAGTGAATGACCAAACTATGGTACATACACATAATCGAATGCTATGCAGCACTAAAGAATAATGTACAGTCTGCAAAACACCGCACAATATGGATGAACTTGGAGGACATGCTGAGTGAAATAAGTCAATCACAGAAGAACAAATATAATATTAATACACTGTTGTGGAGAGTCAAGGAAAGGTTTATATATGGAGGGAAACTTTCTTTGTTGGTTGCCAGCGGTGGGAGGCGTGGGGAGGGAACACTGCAAAAAAAAAAAAAAAAAGCATTGACTCATGTCACTTCAGTTTTATGTATTTCACTGTACCTAAATTATCTTTCAATAAAATGCATTTTAAAAAAGAAAAGAAAGTCCCAAGGTCAACAGAGCAAGGCAGGCTGCTGATTGACGACACGGCTACACACAGAGTTCAAGCATGCCTTAAGCTAGAGACTGTTCCCCAAGGCTTCTCCTTATATGCAGGAAAAAGACCACATCCCTAAGGCAGCTACTCAGCTGCTTACAGTAGATTCCACCATGAGGTTAATTACCAGTCTCATCATGGGGAATACTACATCTAGCTGCCCAGCCGTTCAACCAGGCTTAGCCAAGTTGATACACAAACTTAACTACCAAAATGGTGCTTTCAGTATTCTTTGCCAACACAACTCAAAAACATCAACTCTTCTTTGGTCTTCCTTATTCATGTTTAGCTGTCACATGCATATGAGGCAATTGAAAATATCATGACTTGGGTTAGGCACACCTTAGTCTTCAAAGAGATAGCTTTGCTCTTCACCACTTGAAAGAGGTCTTTTGTAACAGATGTGCCCAATGCAGTCCATCATCTGATGTCTTGATTACTGCTTTCATTGGTGTTGATTGTAGAAGCAAGTAATATGAAGTCTTTGACAACTTCAATCTTTTCTCCATTTATCGTGATACTGCTTATTGGCCCAATTGTGAGGATTTTTGTTTTCTTTATATTGAAGTGTAATCCATACTGCAGATTGTAGTCTTCAGTCTTCATCAGCATGTGCTTCAAGTCATCCTCACTTTCAGCACGCAGAGTTGTGTCGCAGGTTGTTAATGAGTCTTCCACGAATCCCGATGCCATGTTCTTCTTCATATAGTCCAGCTTCTCGGATTATTTGCTCAGCACACAGATTGAATAGGTATGGTAAAAGGGTGCAACCCTGACGCACTCCCTTCCTGATTTTAAACCATCCAGTATCCCCTTGTTCTGTTTGAACAATGGCCTCCTGGTCTATGTACAGATTCCTCATGAGCACAATTAAGTGTTCTGGAATTCCCATTTTGCTCAATGTTATCTATAATTTGTTATGATCCGTACAATCAAATGCTTTTACATAGTCAATAAAACACAGGTGAACATCTTCCTGGTATTCTTTGCTTTCCCCCAAGATCCATCTGACATCAGCAGTGATATCACTCATTCCATGTCCTCTTCTGAATCCAGCTTGCATTTCTGGAAGCACTGTGCCAATATACTGCTGCAACCATTTTTGAATTATCTTCAGTAAAATTTTACTTGCGTGTGATATTAATGATAATGTTCGATAATTTCCACATTCTGTGGGATCCCCTTTCTTTGGAATGGGCACAAATATGGATAGCCGAGTGAGTGCCTCCAGCATGACATCTGTTTGTTGAAACATCTCAGTGGGTACTCCATCAATTCCCAGAGCCTTGTTTTTCACCAATTCCTTCAGCACAGTTTCAACTTCTTCCTTCAGTACCATTGGTTCTTGATTATATGCCACCTCCTGAAATGGATGAACATCAACAAATTCTTTTTGATACAGTGACTCTGTGTATTCCTTACATCTTCTTTCAATGTTTCTTGCATCATTCAATATATTGCCCATAGAATCTTCTGGTATTGCAACTCGAGGTTTAAATTTTCTTCTTCAGTTCTTTCAGCTTGAAAAATGCCAAGCGTGTTCTTCCCTTTTGCTTTTCTAACTCCAGGTCTTTGCATATTTCATTATAGTATTTGACTTTGCCTTCTCAAGCTTCTCTTTTAAATCTTCTGTTCAACTTTTTTATCTTGTCATTTTTTTCCATTTGCTTTAGCTACTCTCCATTCAAGGGCAAATTTCAGAGTCTCTTCTTGTGTTAGACTGGGTTCTCTAGAGAAACAAAACCAGTAAAGCTTATAGAGAGAGAGAGAGAGAAATTTATCTTAGGAAGATGGCTCACACACTTATAGAAGCTGGCAAGTCCAAAGTTCTTGGATCAAACATCAAGCTGGAGGCTTTTCCCGACTCTTGGAGCTGCAGGGGCTGAGGAGCTCAAGGTTGGCAGGCAGTGTACTGGCTGGTGACTCCAACGAATGACAAATCCAAGCTCTCCAGGCCGAATGGTGGATTGTTCGTTCACAGACAGTTGTAGACAGCACAACAGAATCCCAATCCACAGAAGAGTGTCTCTCTTCCCAGGATGTCCATAGATACACTGGAAGCAGGCACACCCCTAGCAAAACTCCCTCTCAATGGATTGGCCGCTCAAAACAGTCATCTGATTCCATCATGGGAATAACCACATCACAACAGCTTAAACCACACAGAAGTGTGGTCCAGCCAAGTTGACACACAGCTCCAACTATCACATTTCTGATACCATTTTGGTCTTTTTTCCCTTTCCTGTCTTTTTAATGACCTTTTGTGATGCCCATTATAGACAATGAAACTGGGTGTGCATTGGGGAAACGTGACTTGAACAAGGTGCCATCCATGTCATGGAGGAAACAGGTCCAATAACACAGGGGCATCCTGTGCTGCTGGGTAGATGGCAGTCAGCAGCCCTTAACCTGGGTGAGTCACCTGAAGGGATTGGCAGCTGTTATCCTCAACAGTGTGAGAGCACCTTTTCAGTGCTCATGTGTACCCCAGGCACAGTGGAGACCACAGTCTCAGTGTGTCACACTCACCTCACAACACTGAGGCCACCCACCCTCCTCCCTGCAAACTGAGGACTCCCACTCTCTTCCCTGCCCCCTTAGGTTATCAGCCCTGCAAGGGGGACTGGGTGGAGGCTGAGTACTGGATCCGGCCCAGCACATGGAGCAGTGAGGCCATCACTGTGAAGCCGCTGCGATACAAGCGTGTGGACAAGGTAGTGAGCAGTCACTGCCCTCTTCTGTTTCTGGTAGAACTGCCACCAGTCACTTCATGGCCCAGGAGTGTGCTGGGGGTGTTGGAAAGTCTAAAACAATAAGTCACCCTTTGCCAAAAAGGAGCCTGTCGTATTGAAAGTGCTACATTTCCTCAGGGTAGCAGGCAGTAAGGCTGAGCGCAGGGTGACCAGGTGCTGACTGCTGCTCTCCATGGGCATGCGTCCACATGGCCTGCTAATGAAGCATGTTGGAGATGGTTGGGGATGAGTGGGCAGGGTAGGGGGTGAGCTTGCTCACAGCTAGATCGTTGGGGGTGAGTAGGTAGGATGGGGTGTGAGCTTGCTGGTCAAGGGTGGATGGTTGGGGGTGAGTAGGGTGGGGTGTGAGCTTGCTGGTCAAGGCTGGTTATGGTTCAGATAGTGCAGGGTTGGGAGTGGAGACGAGTGGTAAGCAGGGGTTTGGTTTGCACACCTGAGCTTCAGCTCAGCTCCCCACCCCTCTCCGCTGCTGTGTCTCACCTCCATGCCCCAGGTTCACACTTACCTGTACCTAAAACATTGGTTGTTCTGTGAGACCAGGTCTCCCCTCAGAGTCAGGCACCTGGTGAGGTGAGGCCACATGCTCACCCACCATTGGCAGCATGCTGCTCGCCCGCCGGTTCCTGATGGGGGCAGGTCATGGCCGCCCATACTGTCCTGTCCATGACATCTGTGTCCCAGGTCTGCATTTCCAGCCTCTGTGGACGAAATGGGGTGATTGATGACAGCATCTTCTTCACCCTGGAGTCACTGAAGCTCCCGGATGGGTACATGCCTCGCCGATACGATGTCGTCAACACGGTGGTGGTGGAGAGCACCCAGTCCTGCTACATGTGGAGGGCGTTGTGCATGATACCTGTGAGAAGACGGTACGTGGGTCTGGCTTTCCTCCTGTGGGATGTGAGGCCCACCTGAGAAGGCAGTGTAGGGGCCTAGCTTTCCTCCAGTGCCTACTTCCCAGTCAGGAGTTGGCTGGAGAGCATCTGTTAGAGGGTGGCTGTGAAGACATCCTGTCAGCCGCTCCCTTCTAGGACTTTGAGTGTGGAACCCCCGTGTGAGGACACAGGGCAGGTGTGGGCAGTGTCAGTGCAGTAGTCCTCCTGAGACTGATGTGGTCGCTGGGCCCCAGTCAGTCTATCCTCGAAGCCCTTCCTGACGAGGAACCCGATCCTGTGGAAACACAGGCCGGGGTCTCAGGGCAATGCCAGGCTGGCCCCTGCAGAGTTCACCACACACATGCACCGCATACATGCACCTGACCATCCTCTCTAGGCCAGACATGATTGAAAAAGCCCTGGCAGCCAGTGATAGCACCTTTGCTCACTGCCCCTCAGAGAGAACACGCTGGCGTCGGAGGCCTCAGGGCAGCTGTTGGCTGCAGTGGTTAGAGTTGCAGTCGCCCATCCTGGGCCCCTTGCCCTAGTCTGTGCATTTTTTTCCAGCACAGGTTACCTTTTCACATTACCAATTGATGGACTGTGCTTTACAGACTGTCTCCAGTTCCTCCTCCCGGGCTGAGATGGAAGTCCTCAAGCCAGGGCTCCCGGCACACACAGTGCCGACGGTGTGGCCACTCTGCTGAGTGGGGTGTAGCTAGCAGTGGCACTGCCTGGCTGTGGCCATGGTTCCTAGGGTGCAGGCCTTCCCGGAACCCCTCGGGACAGCCCCAGGGTCCCACGGGCAACTTTTCTGCGTCCTCCTCACAGGCTCAGTGACTCAGGAACTGGTCCCCTAATAAAAGTGGGGGGTATGAGGCAGGTGGAAGAGGGTGTGCTTTTGGAGTTCTCTGAGGCCACAGCTGCGATTAGCTTCCCTCCTGCGTTTGTGAGGGAAGTGGCCATCTGCTCCTGCGTGTACTCACACTTCACGGTGTACTGAGCTGGGCACTGTCCCATGCCCAGGTGCCCTGAGCAGAGGCTCCACTGTCTGCCCTGGGGCAGCATGTGTCCCCGTCCCAGGATTCTCGACAAGCTTCCTAGACCCCATGACTTCGCTGCCCTCTGCACACGGGGGGTTTCAGACTGCCCTCTTCTAGCCTGGGACCCCTCCCGCTCACTTTGGCAGCTCTACTCTACTCTAGGTGGGCCGAGCCAGTACCTGTGGACCATTCCTGACTCCTTCCTTCCTTTCACGCTCCTCAGCCCATCCTCAAAATGCCTCCAGAGCTGGTGTGCCCCACCCCCCACCCTCTGTTGTGGGGTCTGTGTGCTGAGGAATCTTGGCACATTTCAATGGGAATCAGTAGCTGGACCAGGAGACTGTGGGGATGTGTTTCGTACAGGACAGGAGGAATTTGAGCATGTTGATGGGGACAGGAGCTGGCTGAGGAGCCAGAATGTCGGTGTGGTTGAGATGCCCCCAAGACTGCAGACAGGGCCGGGGTTCCAGACTCACTTGTGGACCCCTTTACTGATGGAGCCGCAGGCTGGAGTGGGAGGTGGTGCAGTGTCAGAGTGCCTTCCAGAAAGCTCACTGAGGGTAGGGGTGAGGAGAGTAATTGCATACTCCCAGTAGCAGGTAGAACAGAGGGGGCGAGGGGCAGGACAGTATGGCATCCTCAAGCTCTTCCAGACAGCAGACGCCTGTCTCCAGGTGAGGCTGTGTGCCTCCCTCACACACACCCGTGGCCTCCTTCCCCCCTAGCTCCCCGCCCCCCTGGCTCCCCTCCCTCCTTTCCCGGCGGCCTTGAGGATGCAGCAGGGGCACCCAGAGTCTTTGACTGAGAATGGGGTGTGGTGTGTCAAACGCCCTGTGAAGAAAGTGCCACCATGGATGTAGGTCCACCGTGGTGGTGCCAGCACATGTCTCCTTCCCTTTAGATGTCACGGGTTTTGTCACTCTCTTCTTTAAGGTGACTTGCTGTCCTTTCTAGAGTCTGAAGCATCGACCATGAAGTACAGGGCCCATGGTCATCTCAGTTCTGTGGTCAGGAAGGTGCAGGGAGGTCCAAGGCCACCCCTTGATGGTTACTCCCTGGCTTTGGCTGCTTTCTCCAGAGAGCCTTCCACTCTTCCTGAGGGTGCTGATGACCCCTACGGAGCTCTGCTGTTGAAGAACAAGGGGGATGTGGAGGTTACAAGGATGACGAATTTTGGAACTCTCCAAGAAGGAGCCAGTAAAGATATGGTGGTCTGGATAGAGTAAGTCTGCCCCTGAGAGTCTTACTTGAGACATTCACACTTTCCCACACCACGGTTCAGGAATTTCCATAGCATTAACTTTGCCCAGTTGTTTTTTCTTTTATGAAAATCTTCAGAGTTTTGGACTCAGAGCAGCCTTTTCCCCTTCTGTCCGCGGAGGTGGTCTCCTTGCACTCGCCGGTTAGCCTGGATGCTGTGCTGCCTGGGGATGGAGGTACTCCCTGGGCTTACGTCCAGTTTCTTCCCAGGAATAAAGGAGCCGTTCCTCAGTACTTCGTCAGCTGCAGATTGGCTGGCTGGGATAAAACCAGGCAATTCAGGGTCAGCATGCCCAGGCAAGACCCGGCGGGCCCTGCAGCCCCCGAGGAAGTGGCCACTATTCCTGCCCCTGGGAAGGAGGAGGGTGTTCCGGACGAAGACGGGAGTGTGAGTGGCCACGGAAGAAGCCAGCCCTGGCAGAGCCTGGAGGGCAGCCTGGGGAAGAGCAGAGAGGGTGCTCCAGGTGGGCTTTGGAGGTGCTCTGTGGAGGGGCACAGCACCCTTTGAAGGAGCAGGCTCCACACCCAGCACTAGGCCAGGGTAGCGAGCACTTTCAGGGGCCAGGCACACCATTCTCCCTGCTCCAAGCCGGGCTCCGACCCTTCATGCCTGCCCTCTGCCTCGTGACATTCAGGGTGGGGGAGAGCAACAATAGCCAGAACAGCTCAGAACCAGCGCCACCTCCGGGTGTGCGTGCGCACGTGTGTGTGAGAGAGAGAGTGAGCTGCATGTGTGCTCATGACATCAGGGCCCTCCTCCCAGGCACCTGGGCGTCTCGAGTGAGTCGCTCTTCTTTCTGACCATTTTTGGTCATTTTGTCAGCTTGCATGCCGGCCAGTGCCTGTGTGAGCGCTCCGCGTGTATGTGCGAACGTGCTGCTGCTGTCGGAGAGAACTTCCCTCTCCACGTGACCGTGGTTTAAATCTCATTTCAGTGGACGGCTGGGCCCAAGAAGGAGGAAGCATGGGAGAAGAGGCTGGGCCATCGCGAAGGCAGGCCCCAGAGCCCAGTGGGCCCATCCCTGCAGGTGGAAAGACTTTCCTTGTGGTAACCTGCGAAGCAAGGTACATGCTGGGGTTAAGCGCCTGCTGGCCAGGCACCAATGGCTTTGGGGTTTCAATGCCTTTTTCAGGTTTCACCTGTGATGCTTCTGGGTTACAGAAGCTGCTCACACCTCTTGGGGTGGAACAAAATCATATGACAGAGCATTGCTCCTGAGAGTGGCCGAGTGGGATTTGCCAGCCTGGGTGGGGAAAGATCTGGTCCAGCCTGTAACCCACCCATCCCTACCCAGCAGCCATAGCAGCTGCCTGGGCTTCCTCCTCCAGTGAGAACACAGTGCTAGGGTGGGCTCCACCTCATGAACTTAATTTAACATTCTTGGCTACTCCCCTTCACCTCCTTCCCTCACGCTCACACTCGCTGGTGGCCAACTCACTCTGACACTCCCTGTCCCATCTGACCCCAGGCTGAGAAGTGGCCTCATGCTGCCTACAGGGGGCACTGAGGACAGGGAGGGCCAGGCAGAACCGAAGATCCAAACATCCTTGTCTGCGAGCGTATTCGTGGTAGAGTGCGTCTAATCTAGCTGGTCGCCCAGGCCTATGACTGGGCCCGTCCTCCTTCCTGCCTCCCTCCCCGTGCCCAGAATTCCCTGGCCAGCCTGCGTCGGCGGCGGCCACTGCATTCAGGCAGCTCTGGACAACCGGGAGGGTTTTAGTCAGCAGCTCTGGACAACGGGGAGGCTTTTAGCCAGGCTTTCCTGCCTCTTCATCAGTCACCCCAGTTCGCTGACTGCATCTCTACAGTGCACACCTGATTGAATCACCTGGCTTCAAAACCATCAGCCAAATAACAGTCTTTCTGTTGACAATGGGATTTCAGAAACATGACAGTATAGGCCACCCTGGTGCTGCACAGATTAAGTAAGCCCAGGGTTCAAACCCACTAGCTGCTCCAGGAGAAGAAAATGGAATAGTCCACTTCCGTGAAGATTGACAGCCTTGGAAACCCTGTGAGGCAGTTCTCTTCTGTCCCTCAGGGGCGCTGTGAGTTGGAATCGACTCCATGGCGGTGGGTTTGGTTGTTTGGGGTTTGTGATGATAAACAGGTGAGTGGGATATGTGGCGTGTACAGTGTGGTCTCAAAGCAAGAGTAGGAAACTAGGCACCAGGTGAAGTGCGTCACAGGGCACTGCATACTTGGAATTGCTGGCAATGGTGTTGTCATTTACTTAAGTCTTAGGATTCTAAAAAGACACTGCTGGCTTTTATCTTGGGAAATTTTTGTTGTTTATTTTAGAAAGTCCCTTTCTTCCCCATAAAAAGAATTATTCAAAACTGAAAGTGACTGTGGTTTAGCTTTGTGATTTTTCTTCTGTGATAATTTGTTGTTTGCCATCAAGTCGGACCTGACTCAGAACGACCCCTCCTTGGGTTTCCGAGGCAGTACCACTACGGAAGTAGATTGCCCAACCTTCCTTCCGAGAAATCGCTGGTGGATTTGAACCACCAGCCTTCTGGTTAGCAGTCGAGTGCCTTAGGCACTGTGCCACCAGAATTCCAAGAGGGGAGTTATACTGAGTCCACCTGTTGTATTTAGAGCCGGAACTAAATTCCGTTTTGTTTGTTTTAAGAAATTATGGCCGCTGCAGGGAGCTCCTCCTGCTGTGCTTCTCTGACTTCATCGTCGGCCGGTTCTTGGAGGTGAACGTGGTCAGTGACAAGGAGGCACTCATAGGGGTCCGAGAGCCATTCTCCTGGAAGAAGTCGCAAAGTCCCCAAGTGTCAGTGTCCCCCAAAACCACTGTTGTGGTGACCACACAGAAAAGGTGGGTGTGACAGACATCAGCCAGGCAAGTGGACAAGTCCTGGTAACAGAGACCAGCATGAGCGTGGCCTGCCTGTGGGCGGTAGCTGAGAGGGAGGGCTGGAGGGGGTGGGACCTGTCCCACTGAAGTGTCTGTCCCTGCCTGGCACTGGGACCACCACTGGTGGACCAGCATGGGTCTCAGTGCCACAGGCCACTTCTCCACTGGCTAGGCTCAGGGACTCTCAGCCCGCGCTCCCACCATCCCCCTGCACCCCACAGCCCAGTCTCTGGAGGCAGAGATGACATACCACCGCAGTGAGGCACCTCAGGCTGCCAGAGGCTGGTACAGTTCTGCAGGGGTACACAGTATGTCTGTGGCAGGGCTGGGGAGTGGGGGGAGGTCCCAAGAAAGCGTTTCAGCTCCGATTTCCTCAGCTGCCGTTGTCAGCTTGTTCTTCAAGTTGGTGCCAGAAAACCTGCCCTGGAGAAGTGGGCGGAGCTCTCCATAGACTGCCCCTTAACTTATAGAGGTGGGGGGAGCTCTCTGTAGATCAGAGAGCCCCCCCGGCAAGAGGACAACTGGTGGAAGGAAGACATGGAGCCGCCCCTCTCCCACGGAGAATGAGGGGGGAGGTGCCTCCCTTAGTTCCACTCTGCTCAGGCAGAGCTCATAACCAGGAGGGTTCTGGGCCTCAGTCTGGTTCATTCCCCTCCCTGACCTTTGCTGGCTCCCATCTCCCATTC